TCCTGACTAATTACTATGGGATCGGTTTGGATGCCGAGCCGGATCCGAGAGTGACGGAGTTGACGGATGAGCAAGTGTTGAAAGAAGGCGTAGCTTTGCATTTGAAGCCGCATCTCGCCAAGTGTACCACAGTGGTGATCCCAGAGTATACTCCTGTGGACATCAGGACCAAGTTGATTGTTGCCTTTGTGCACTTGGAGGCCTACGCACTCGCTGATGTGAGGGTTTTTCATCAATAAAATAAATGATTAGAATAATGGGTTCAGAATTTCTATTATCGTTGCGACGATTTTTTTAAATATTTTTTTTATTATTCATGACTTTTTTGCGCAGAAATAGTCTCCTCCATCCGGTTCAGTTCTTCTCACTTCAGTGTCAAAGTCTTACTCCTATTTTAATTTAGTTTGTGTAGATGTCGCTCGAATATAATGTACAGTGTTTGTCATGTCTTGCGACTGGAGTGACACCTGTCTTACACTTCAGGAGCGTTCATTGGGAGAGCCCAGAAAGTCAGTTGTAAGCAAGTGTCGTGATTGTGTAGATGTTGCCAGAAGATTATGCGTTTATTATATCCAGTGACGCCTGTCGTAGGTTTGAGGGGGAGAAAACAGAATATGAGTTGATAGGAAGGGTCATGTTCGCTAGATTTCAGTTATTTTTTTCTTTTGTCGAAATTTTAAAATGATGCAACTGATCACTTATTCATTTCATGAATTTTTGTCTCAATTTTTCTTTTGATCATTTAAAAAAAATTGCTGTGGATTGTCGTTTTTGAAACGCCTGTTGAATGCTTAATACCTCGTTGACGTTTTTCTTTTCGTTTTTTCAGATTGTTGTTCAGCCATTAATCACAGGAGGTCCTCAGGATGTTGATGACTTGTATGTAGACATTTACGAAGCTTACATGGCGAAGAAAATGTACAAGAACGCCCTGGTATTTTTAGAAAAATTGGCGGCAGATCACAGATATTGTACTGTAAGTTTTTTTTTTTTTCATTTAAATTTGTGTCCTTTAATTTTGAGACCGGAATGGGGTTTTCATTTTTAGACAAAAGTGCTGCTGAGTTATGCGGAATGTTTGCTACAATGCGGGGACATGAGGGGAGCGGAAACTGCTTACAAACGGGTGCTGGAGCAACTTCCGGATCACGTTGACGCGAGATTGTCGCTGTCGAGAATATTGAATGAGCTCGGAGAGACAGGGGAAGCCTTGGATTTCATCACGCAAGGTTTCTTTTTT